CTCTCTCTCTCTCTTCCGCCACCCATCTGTACCCGGTGTCAAGCCATAGTCAAGATGACCGGAGGCTGGCACGGCCGAAGCCGCCATCACGCTCCCTCCTCCTTCCATGCACGGCATTGGTTATGGGCGTGCAACCCCGAATAACGCCTGCCGTACCACGCGGCCCGTTTAGAGGGCAAAATTAGGAAAAACGCACACGCAAAAACGTGAAAATTGATAAGCTTTACTGTTTTTTGTTATTTTATGAATGGCAAGATGTGGGAGGGGTAGATACTACTCTGTGCAAACGTCCAGAAACGATTATGAAGGATATTACTCAAAACTTTACGTCTCCCTTATTTCCAGTATGTAGTCAACACTTTAATTAGCGTGCACTTGTTGTCTTCTTTGATAGTTCTTTATATGTGTTGAAAACTTTTGCGAAGTCCATTCGTCCAGTTTATGGTGGAATGCGGGGCTTGTGTGGCTTTCAGCTGAATTTGGTGTATGTATGGTTTTTCGGAAGGAGAAATTTGCGTTTCCGTCATCAGTCTCTTTTCGTCGGTACCTGAACCCCGTGGTTTCCGTTGACGGAGGAGAGAGTGAAGCCTTTCCAGGCACCCTTTAGGCGATAACTCTGGAAACAACACGACAAACCTTCGTACTAGCATGAGCTTGACAAAGAGAACACGCCTACTAGCAATACTGCAGTTGGGACAGCAGGAATGGTATGTGTAGAGCAGGACTCTCTTGCTTTGGCACTCGCATTAGTTTAAATCTACTGCTTGCATCTGAAGGATCAATGATAATGATTATCCTGTTTCAAAGGGCTGGACCCCATTGACCTATCTTTCCAACTCCCGAGTCGTTTGCCGTACATTTTAATTCTAAACCTATACTACGAGATGCCTCTAGCTAGTCTTCGTACAAAAGCTGACCACTCCTTTCCGATTTGAGGCATCCTCTGTTGAGAGCAAAGCTGACTTGCATTGAAACATACGAATCTGTTCAAGGGCGGAAAAGAATCTTTGGTCTGGCACTGTGGACAGTACTATCAGTTATCCATCGTGTGTGCCTTTTATGCAGCTACCTTCAAAAACCAAACCGCACACCAGTTCCGCTCAGCTCGGTTAAAGTTAAGGGGGAAGTTGTGCACCCTATTGGCGGATGGGCGGTA